AAGGCAAACGGGTCTGGGCTGCAGGAACGGGGCGTTGTGAGCAAGACACGAGGAGTCGTTCTGCCGCTCTGCTCTGCGCTGGTCAGGCCTCAGCTGGGGTATCGTGTCCAGTTCTGGGCACCGCGTTTCAAGAAGGATGTGGAGAAATTGGAGAGGGTCCAGAGAAGAGCAACAAGAATGATGAAAGGTCTAGAGAACATGGGCTAGGAGGGAAGGCTGAAGGAATTGGGCTTGTTTAGTTTAGAAAAGAGAAGATTGACAGGGGACATGGCAGCGGTTTTCAGGCATCTCAAAGGGTGTCATAAGGAGGAAGGAGAAAACTTGTTCATCTTGGCCTCTGAGGATAGAACAAGAAGCAATGGGCTTAAACTGCAGCAAGGGAGGTTTAGGTTGGACATAGGAAAAAGTTCCTAACTGTCAGGGGGTCAAACACTGGAATAAATTGCCCAGGGAGGTTGTGGAATCCCCATCTCTGGAGATATTTAAGAGCAGGGTAGATAACTGTCTATCAGGGATGGTCTAGACAGTGCTGGGTCCTGCCGTGAGGGCAGGGGACTGGACTCGCTGCCTCTCGAGGTCCCTTCCAGTCCTAGTGTTCTGTGACTCTATGAAAGCCCCTGGCTCAGCCAGCCAGGGCTGCACAATACTCACTTGTGGTCAGAGACATCCAAGTGGTACGGGACGTACGCCAGCTCCTCCGGCTTCCACTGCTGCATGTTGAAAACCACAAAGGGAGGTGCCCCGTGGCAGAAGACGCGCTGGGTGAACTCTCGGAGGCCCGTGCAGCTGCAAGCAGAGAAGCAGAAATGCCAGTGGTGCCACTGGGCCGGCAGCGCGGCTCAGCCGGGTTCAGTTCCCAGCCGGACCGGAGGCAGCTTGTCCCCCATATTAGCGTTTGGTTTGGACAGCGACCGGCTCTCCCCTGCATCCCCGAGCCGAGGAATCAGGCGAGGCTGCCGGCCACCCTTCCCTGCCTCCCGCATGCAGCAAGCCGTGCTGGGCCAGAACTCACTGACTGCTGGCTCTCTGCCCTGGAATCCTTGCTCTGGGGCGGGGCGGGGCTGCCCCGGGGAGAGGCCAGCCCCAGCCCTCTGTCCCCCCAGCCACTTGGGGCCAGGTGGGAAG